AAAGAATCTATGACACCCATCTTATTCTTCCTCCAATCAAGGATTTGAAATCACTTTAATACAGAGTTTTACTAAGACTCCGGCTCAACAGCAAAGGGATTGTCCTGGCAAATCAAAGATCATTGCCATAAAGACGACTGTGGCACACTTTAGCAGGACTATGTCCCACCTTCCTTCATGCTGGGCTTTTCTGCAATTTATGCATTTGCCAGAGTGTGCCTGTTGATGTTTTCTTATTTACTGCTGACACCGTTCTGTTTTCAAAGACCTTTTATCTTTGTTGAAAACATCAGTCATCTCACTAAGTCTAAAACACAGGGCATTTTGTTTCAAATGCTATGCGTTATTAGTATGCTAATTATAAGTTCCACTTTCTACACACTCAGTCATCATCGTCCAGCTCCAATAAATTGGACTTTAATTGCTGAGGACATTTTTGAAAGTGCTCTGATGATGTCGCTTATATTAATAAATGGGTAAGGCAAAAGCACACATTTTTTTCAAACATTGGTCTCTGACTCTGGATCAAATAGACCTCCTTCATTTTGCTCAGGTTAATTAGCTACCTCCGGTATCACTGAGGCCACATCTTCATGGCATCTTCATCACTCAGAAGTCATTTCAAAAAAGAACATTCAGTGTATATGGAGACCAAGTATGTTGGCAGAGAGTAACTCACTTTACCCTTAAATTGTACCCTGAATATAAGATATGACAAAACTGGCTGAAGAGAAACCCTGGAAATAAGCACCCAGCTTTAGCTACTCTATTCTTTTAGAATAACATTGTCATCAACAAAACTGATGATAAGCATATTTCTGAATTCTGCAGGTAGCCCCATTGGAGAGCCCTGTGGAAGGACATGCTTGGAAGAGAGAGATAATCAGTGGTTGGGGGTAACACTTTCCAGACAGCCAGGTGAAAACGGATCTATTGTGGTAGGTATTGAAGTGGGTCCACCTATCAAGATCCTGGAATCAGATATTCGAGGTGTGACTTTCACATATTTGTTTGACTTTTGTTTTATTCAGACTTGTGGGCATAGGTGGAAAAATATATTTTACATGAAGAATGATAATAAGCTCCCCATTGGTATTTGCTACGGGATGCCTCCCGATTTGCGAACAGAACTGAGTAAAAGGATAGCCCCATGTTATCAAGGTAGGTGTCACATGATGCAGCTACAGTCTCTGTTAATCCCAAAAATGGGAGGAGAAAGACCATTGACCCAAATTGTTATGGCCAAATTAATCAAAACAAGCAACTAAAGCAAGCTTTGGTATTTGTATACAGAGGTTGTTTTCCCCTAAGATAGGTTCAAGAGGTCTGCATTAGATGTGAGGAAGACAGGCTTTTACAGCTCACAGGCAGAGGGTTTCCAAATGGGGGATTTGGCAGACAAAATAGGTGGGGTTATAGGAGCAGAGCATAACAAGTTAGTCATAACGACCTCCTGAAGCAAAGACATGATTGCAGGGTGGTCATAAGAACAGGTCATAAAAGGTAAGCTGTAACAGCCCTTTAGAAACTAAAGTAGGGTTGCAGGATGATTATAAACAATTTTTTGAAACAAAGACATGATTGCTACTTCCTGGAACAGGCAGTGCAGAAGCATTTGTAGTTAAGCTCACAGGTGGGACACCGTCCAATCCTTGAGAACAGAGGTTTAATCATACACAAGAATGAACCTAGTTTGTCTTTACTATAAGATGGAGCTAAGGCTAAGATGGAGGCAGGCTGTTTCTTCAAAGCAAAGGAAGGCTTTCACTAAGCGTTTCTTTGCATTTTCATTTTTGCCTGCTCACAGAGGAAGAAGATCTTTGATATGGCCATTGCTTAATGTAAAGCATCCTTGCCTTGTTTACCCACTACAGTCGCAATGCCCTATATGAGCACTCTGAGCTTTTGAAAAGCAACCCTAAAGGTTCATTTGGATAACTAGTGATAATTATCCACTTTTATACTAAATTTATTTTCAAATCACTATAAGCCTGTCTAATGCCTGGGAAGCAAAGGATCCTTAAAAATCATGAAATTACATAGAAAATTCTTATTAGAATGAGAATGACTACATTTCCTGTTTTTCTAGTAGCTTCTAATGAGTCTTTAAAAGGATTCAAGGCATAAGTATTCCTTGAAGATGTTAAGGATTAGTGTCTAAAGCAACTAATTGTGACCAAAGTGGTTGTGACCACTTTGGGGCTCAAATGACCCCTTCCATGTACATACAATAAATAGTATGCCACCCTGCCATTTGGGCCACTGCAGGTGAATATGAAGAGCACCATAAGCCAGGCACAGAAACCAACACATAATAACACTTACATGTGAAATCTAAAAACACCAAATACCGAGAGAAACAGAATGGCAAAGTGGTTGGGGAGGTGGGAGGTGGGAGTGGGATGAGGAGTGTCTGCCACAGGATTGAGTTACAGTTTTGTAGGATGAATGAGTCTAGCAGTGTAAGGCACAGCATGACAGTTATAGCTAATGTTACAGCTTGTTGTAGGAGTTTGCCAAGAGGGTAGTTTGCCATTGTTTTTACCACCCACAGACAAAATGTCACCGTGAAGACAGAGGTATATTAAGTTGCTTGAGTGAGTAGCCATTCTACCATGTGTGTGTTGACAGAATGTACTGTTGTGTACGTCCAGTATGTATAATAACTTGGGGAATTGTGAACCCAAAGCCAGAAATATTACGTTTTAGGTTCCCACACATTTTTTTTTAATTTTTAGTACATGTTACAAATCCTTCCTGTGATGAGGAAGCAGGGGGAGAAATGCCTTTGCTTATGATTCATGATGATAATTTGAAGATTAATAGAGGAGAGTTGAATGGTGTTAAATTATGACAATTATTATCGTTTTCAAAAGTGAAGTGCAAAATACAGATCTTAACAGTCATGTTTGTGAAGACCTCTGAGAAAAAAAATAAATTACAGAGGATGAGATCATTATCATGAAAATTAATCCTGGGGCCGGAGAGATGGCTCAGTGGTTAAGAGCACTGGCTGTTTCTTCCAGAGGTCCTGAGTCAATTCCCAGCAACCAATGGTAGCTCCCAACCATCTGTAATGAGATCTGGCACCCTCTTCTGGCATGCAGACAGAACACTGTATACATAATAAATAAACCTTTAAAAAAGGAGGAAAGAAAGAAAGGAAGGAAGGAAGGAAGGAAGGAAGGAAGGAAGAAAGAAAGAAAGAAAGAAAGAA